TTGTAACTCGTAAGCAAATTAAGATTTAAAAAAAATGCATATTTGACCAAAATTTGACATATGACCTTTCGATACTTTTTTTTGAATAAAACGAACTGTCTTTCAAGCAACCAATATATATATATATATATATATTTCAATGAAAATTTCTTGAATTTTCAAACAAGTTTTCAAGAAAGTTTTTTAACAAATATATTTGATCTCATAATAATTTAAAAAAATATGCAGATTAATAAGTCTAATATAAATAAATATATTTTATTAATAATCAAATAGTTTTTTCTAAAAGTGAGTCACTCATTTTAACTGCTTGTATTTTAATTATCTTGACTAGCCTTATTAAAATAAAAATTGCATAAAAATTGATCGCAAATTAAAATTAAGGAAATTTGGTGCTATTTTTGACTATGCATAATATATTTTTACTTTTTCTGAAAGTTAAAAGCAGCAAAATTGCATTAAAACGACCTATTATAAAATGAAAATAACTTTTTTTTTGTTTTTTTGAAAAAATTGGAACAAAAATAAGTGTATTATAATGAAGGAGAAGAATTCACAAATTACCAGTAATTCTTCAAACTCTCAGATAGATCACCTAATTATTGTATAATTGATTACAAATCAAATTAACAGAACTATTAATTTGGTTTCATTTCTATTACTTTAATTTTAATCACAAATTTTCCTTTAATACAATTGTTAATATAATATTTATTTCTGCTTAGACTTTATTAAATTATAGTAAAAATTTTAATTTATTATTATTGTAAAGAATTTTTATTAAAAGAGAAATGGAAAACATTCTTCTATTAACATTGATGCACTCAAACCTAAATATTGTTGAAATAAATTAGGACAAAAACTGTAAAATTGAAACCAAATTTGTATTTTTGCTAATTAATTTATAATTATTATACAATAATTCAATATTTGTTTGCTATTCTGTTCGAACAAAAATAGTTTTTGTATAAATTACCAAAAATATTTAATTACTTAAGTAATTTAGTTCACTGCTAATTAAAACATTTGATCTGCTGTTTTGCATTTGCTTTATCCAAGTAGATCAAGTCAGATCTGTGAGACTAATTGCTTGATACTTACTTAAATCACATCAAGTCTATCATTTTTTTAGTAATTTTTTTATCTAAAGTTAACATTTTAGCAGAGATAAAGAAAAGCAAAATTGTGCTAATAAGCAAAACTGAAACTGATGTAAAAGAATGATTATGATAAAATCATGGCTATATTTCAAGCAAATCAATTAATCCCTCATTTTGTGATCAAATTCTTAGATTAAAATGTAAAAGTGATCACATGAAAATCAATAATAATTATTGTAATTGCTAATTTTGATTACATGAAAAATTTTGTGACTAATTTTGAAAAATTATTATAAATTCATTTAAAAATTATCAATAATTAAAGTATATATTAAAAATGTTTTGCATAAGATAATGCTCATTGATGGGTTTAATAATTTCAATAATAAAAATGGCTTAATATGCATGATGCTATATTATTTAGCAATTATATTTATTTTACCATCTATTGAATATCTAATTATAACAAAGTAAAAGTAGAAATATTCATTCTTCTAATCGTTAATAATTATTAATATAAACATTTGATAATTTTATTAACTGCATGTAACACACAAAAAAGGCACTGCAAATATAAATGTATTTTACGTTAATTTTCCGTAAAATTTTTTAAGCGCAATAAAATCTTTATAAGTACAACTGCAAATATAAATGTATTTTACATTAATTTTCCGTAAAATTTTTTAAGCGTAATAAAATCTTTATAAGTACACTTGAAAATAATCAAAATAGCATATAATTTGGCTGTAAATTAAGTAAGCAAAATTAAAAGTAATAATTTGTTAGTATTAAAAATAGAAATTTATGAAAGTAAAATCTTTTTAAGTTAAAAATTTAGAAAAATAACAAAATAATATTTATCATTCGAAAGTAATATTTTTCATAACAAAAATATAGCACAATTCTTAATAACATTTTAAATTTTAGCTAATTTTTTATTATAAAAATTAAAATTTGATAAATTTACAGTCATAATCGCAAGACTTTACATACAGAATAATCTTTTTTAGTAGCAAATCAGTTCAAAACATTAACAAAACTGGATGTTTCCGTGATAATAACGTAAGTTTTAAAGAATATTAAAATTAAAACGAAACTTTTTTACTGTTAAAATATTAATCAGTTTTCAAAAATAGAAAAATTTTGTTCTATCTGACAAACAACTATATTTTAATGGTTCATTGAATTAATTTCATATTTATTAAGTTCTTGTATGAAATGATTATATAAATTACATAACCATTTCACTGATCTAAAACTAGCTTAAAATTTAAATAAAAAATAATATTATAACTTGAATTAATGACCCTTATCTTTCAATAATATAAAATGTACTAATATTAAAGTTAAAAAAATTGATCTAAATCAGATGCATTCTTAGTTGATTATATTGTTAACACTGATTTGTATTTCAGCGATTTCGATCAGAAAATATGATCAGAATGATTAGAACGTGATTAACTAGTATTTCTTGCAATGATAATCATATCATTCTTAAAAGAAGAAATTATCAGTTTAACATTTTTAAAAATAAATAATTAAATGATCAGAAATAGAAATACATCGACCGTTGTATTTTTTTATTTAAGTAATGGATTCTTTTTTTTGAAGATTTTAAAAAGTCGAAAGTGAAAAAAAGAAAGAGAATGAATTTTAAAAGAAAAATATCAATAAAAATTAGTTAAAAAGTAATTTTTCAATGAACTGCAAGAAATTCAATCCTTAATAACAAAGAGGTCACCAGGAGCTCTCGAGAAAAATCCCGATACCTGTTTCTCACCCACTGATCATTTTCTTTTCTATCTACTAATCATTCATTTTATCATCCGTTTGTTTCTAATATTCTTGTACAATCTCAAAAAATTTGCTTTTTGTGTTGTGTAAAAACTTTTACAATCAAAAATTGTTCTAAATTTTTAGCCCATACAAAATTTATCTTTCAGTTACAGTAACTATCAAATGTAATCCATATAACCAAAGTGATATAAGTCTTACAATTATAAATAATATAATTTGCATAAATTATGCGCAATGAACTTAAGCATCACAATCAATTTATCAAGAAATACATTGTAGTCAAAGTGTATTAATTCGTTCTAAATTTTTATTGCAAAAGATTCATGCTAATAGACTTCAGTTAGTTTGTTATAATTAACTTAAAGTCATATCAATTAGATTACAAGAAATTATTAATAAATTAGAGCAATTATGAAGAACAGATCAGTTTTTATGGTACTTTTATAAAAATACCTCAATGAATAATTCTTATTTTATGAATGAATTTTCTTATCTGATCAAAAAAACTGGCCAATTGAAGAATCTGATTCATATCTGATTGAAAATAATTAAACGTGAAGTGGAAGAATAATAATTTAGAAAAAATATTCAGCATTTCTAAGGCAATATATACCTTTAGAAGTAAAAAAGTTCTTTCAATATTTCTTTTTCACCAAACTGTTTGCTTCTCAAAATTGATAGCAAAATTTCTCTTGCAAATATTTACTATTTTGTTTTTATTTTCCATTTAATTATTTTAAGAATTAAAGTAAGTAAAAGCTTAACTTTAAAACTACTTGTCAAAAAAAATCAAAGTTAGTCAATTGGTAACTTACTTCCATGCATTGGTTTTAAATTACACCAAAGTTACCAACCAATTTTTGGATCATTGATGGATCATTGTTCCATATTCAATCATCTTAGATTAAAAATCTA